CCCCCCCCCCCCCCCCCCGGCGCGCTATAGGAATGGGATAAGCAGTGAGATTTTGTAAAATGATTCACCAAAAATGAAAGTTTTTGGTGGGATATGCTCCATCCCACTAGCTGCTTAGATTGTTGCTTTATATCATTCTGTCTCTATAAAGTAAGACCAGAAAGGAATAAATATAATTTTCTTGATCCCAATACAAAATTTTGCAGAGAACCCGTGAATGCTCTTTCTATTTGAATTTTCAACAGCTTTTACACAAACATGTTTGCTTTGTTACATTTGACAATGATCTCTCTCTTGAATTCACATGATAAAAGTGAAATGTCGTAGTTTTTTGGATCATGTGCCTTAATGATAAATGATGGCCTCTTTACTTGGAATGAAAATGACTATTAACAAAAATAAAACAGAAATTGTGTAAAAACAGACGAAAATGAGTACACAATAAAACCTCCATGAAATAATAATGTTGGGGTTGAGAAAAATTATTATTTTAGAGAGGTTACTAATTTATCGGTAAATGAAAATTTATTAATTTATAGAGTATTTTATATTTTTATATCCTGCATTATATTTTTCCAACATGTTGGAATTTTTTTTTTTAAATAAAATTGAATGTGATGAAATTCAAAATTTAATCCGTAGGTACACAAAAAGGCGCACACATAAATACATTAATGTACATGCATTGACTTTAAAGTTTAATATCTTGAAAGATTAATCGTTCGTTAATTTGTAATAGTATGAAATTAAAATTGTCGGTTAAAATTAGGGATGAAGTAAAGTTTGGTTCGGAAGCAGAGAAAAAGTATAAGACCTTATATACATATTTTGAAAAAGTGACGAATTGAAAACAATGTCATCAAATTAAAAGTTCGTTAATTTGCATTCTGAATCTTGTTGCTTAAGATATAATGGTCTAATGCAGGCAATAGCCGAGCCAGGCCAAAAACTCCCACCTTGGGATTTCCAGGATTGTCTATCAAAACATAGGTACTTCGTGTTAAAGTAAATAATGCTCACAGGTGCAGATTAGCTAAGCCTTTAGCTCTACCTAGGATTATTTTGAATCTTTGTTGCCATTTGAGGCAACCACATCCACTAGGCTCTCCCTCGTGGAGATGTTTATAAAAACTTCCTCCACAGATACATCCGTTAACATGGGGTCGATCACCACCAGATTCTGATGTCTGATCTAGTTTCTTAACATCCGTTCAAAATCTGGTTGGGACTTAAACAAACTCAACATGTCAAGCTTGTTGATTGCTGAAGTACTGCTCTGTGAACAGCTCCAAAACCACCAGGTCCAAGTTCACAATTTTTATTGAGAAGTGTTCTTGTCCCGCTTAAAAAATCGGCATCACCATAAAACATGACAAGCTTGCCATAGCAGTGTCATGAGACGGGTCAAAATCATCAACTATTGATAAAGTGGGGGTCACGGAAGATTGTGCTTTAGAATAGCGGACATAAATATTCAGAATAGAGACAGTTAATACACCAAGGGCAATGAAAACAGCTGCACCAATGGCAATTAAGGATATACCGAGTATTATTCTCTTATGATGGAGATCTGAAGAGAACCATGACTTGTTCACTCGAACAGCATGAATTGGGGTTTAGGACAAGGAGCTTGGGTTTGACTTTGACAGCAGGGCATGATTGCTTGACAAAGAACGACAAAGGGACAGATTACAAATGACGGACGTCGGACGAGGAAGGGATCGAGTCAAAAAGGCCACCGCCTGGAAGTTCACCTTGGAGATGACTGTAGGAAATATTGAAGGCAATAAGTTGGGAAAGACCTGTAAGTTGTTTCGGTGAACTTCTAGTGAAGCGATTGAAGGACAAATCGATTTCCTCAAGGTTGGATAAGCCCACAATTGCCACGCTGACTGAAACAGTAATGTTATTATGAGACAAGATCCTACATGAGAGAAAAAATGGGTATATTTTATAATCTTTTAGAACTATATGAAGACACTCAGACGAATAGCAGACCATCATCGAATCCATAAATCTGCATTCACCACAAAATGGAAAGTTTCAAGTGATGGAGAACTTACAAAGAGGTTAGAGATGAGCAGTTCCTTATATCTGTTGGAGTTGCACCAGTCAGGAAATAGGTCTCAGTCTTAATTCCTGACATGGAACTGCTCATCCTATTTCAAAGGGGATGCTTCCATTTTGCTGGCTGTGACTAAGATCAAGGACAAGAGTGGTGTTCAATTCACCAACATATGCAGGGATGGGACTAACTAGAGAGTTCCTGGAAATATTCAAGAACTGCAAACTGCTGAAATTCCGAATGGAAGATGAAATATCACCAGATAACGCATTGGACAAGTCTTTTAAGAGTTCGATAGGATGCTGACAGTGATAATGGAGTAGGATAGTCAATGCTTCCAGTATATCTGTTTTTAGAAATGGAGACGCTCTCCAACGCCAACTTAAAAACCCACTAAAGAAGATTGTGAACAAATTTTGGACTAGATCAAGTACCTTAAGGTTTACGCAATTCACAGAAGACTGGTATGCTTCCCTACTAACTGATTTTCGACAAGTTTTACTTCAAGGGTTGAAGATTTCCTATGCAGTTCTGTATCTCGCCAGTAAAGCTACTGTTCGATAGACCCAAGAACTCCAGGCTCATAATATCTCCAATCTAGCCTGGAAATTCCCCGGTTACCGAATTGCCATTCACATCAAGATATCTGCAATTCACGAGCTTATGCATTGACATAGGAAGCAGCCCCCCAATGAAATAATTGTCACCAATCTCAATATTCAACAGTAAAAAATTTCCAATATATTCAGGCAGGCAGCCTATAAAGCTTCTTCTGCAAACTAATTCCTTATACGCTCTCTCAATTCCTTAGAGAATCTCACCCTTGAATAAGTTATCCAATAAATCAAGTGATTGAAGTAAACTCTATGACCATAATCCACAGGGCAACCGACCTGAGAGCTGATTGGATTAAATGTTAATTCTTTTCGATGTGCAGGGAATAAACCAATGAGCTTGTTTTTGACAAGCAAAATCGACCTTAAAGACCTATATTGTTCAAAAAGCTCATCCAGTATGGTCCCTGATAGATTATTTTCACACAAGTCAGTCATTTTCAAGCTCCCAATTTCAGCAAGAAATGGATTTATAGCCCCTTTGAAGTTGTTCTTTGACAGTGATAGTACTCTTAAGGTACTGTAGTCTTATTAGGCTTCATTCGAGGTGCCCAAACAAAGAAAAGTCACCAAGGACTAGCTCGGATACTCAATTAGACTTATTAGGATCAGATTTTACTCAAATCCAATTGCAGGGATTTTGAAAATCTTTATTCCAAGATTTAAAAACATCGATTGTGGTCTTAGCTCAGCTTTGAAGGCAAATGCAATCAAACTCAGCATGTCGTCATTGAAAACAGTAAAGATTCAACAAGAATTGGAACTAAAAGCAGTCAGTACATGCATTAGCATCTTGATTTCACTCCATTTTTGCTCTATATTGATACATAAATGAATAGAACCTCAGTAAGGATTAAATCCGTCTTTTTGTTTGCAATTATCATTGAGCCAAGGGAATACGGGCTAAACTACTGGTCAAACTCAGCCAGATCACTTCATTGTCTTCTATAAAATATATGTTCACCTCTGAAAAAGGTCCTTTTGTATCATATACATAGAAACGGTAAATGACAGACAATGTCCCCTCACTGCATTAACATTTTTCAATAGTGTATTAAACAGTAAACAACAATATCCATTCATCACAAGTCCCATGGTATTCAATTCAATCCTTTGCCCCCATCGTCAAAAAGTACTTAGAACGCTCATCAACTATCACAAATAGGGAAATATTGATTCAATTGACTGGATTTCAACGTTTCTGGTAGTGATCTATAATATATTAAATATTACATCAAGTGAGAATCATTTTTTGGATGATTTTAACCCTACCACAATTTAATTATTTCAATAATACCTTACTTTTCGTTTTCCAATATGTAATAAATACTACAAAATCTTTGTCATGTATGAATTTCGAGTCATTAATTCTCAATTAATTAACATTCAAATTAATCTAGACTCAATAAATCTTGACTTGATGAATCTTGATCTACATGAATATAGATTATTACAGATGAATTTATTCCTATTCATGTATCTAGGAATTTTAATGGATGTTTAAATTTATATATTAGATTAATTTTTATGTACCAAATGTAGTATAAAAAGGTTGCTCATTTGTAGTATTTCATCGTTACAGAAAAATTTGAATCATAGAAGTTAGGTTTTGAGAGTAAAATTTTCTTTTTTTAAATTTTTATCCTAAATTTTATTTTCTTTAGTTCGTTTAACCCTCATCAAATTCTCCTAACAAATTGATAATTTTAAATTTTTATCCTAAATTTTATTTTCTTTAGATCGTTTGATACTCATCAAATCCTCCCAACAAGTTAGTACCAAATATTACTTTTACATCATTTATAAAGTATTTCAGAATAACGTATAATGCACGTTCAACTTGACTAGCTTAAAAAATTAGAGTAAGATCTGCTGCCTCTCTAATTTAGACCATAATACATACTTTTATCTCTCTTAACGAAATTTACCTCATCTATCTACTCGTAAAATCTTTGGATCAAATAGAAAAATCCCCACATATAGAACCTTTAAAATGTCCCAAAGGAGGACACAGATAGAACGCTGACTTTTATGTCCTTTTTGTTGGACATTTATGCCAGTAGCGAAAGAGTACGGTCAAGCACCTAACCGTCAATCGCTTTCTTTTTCCTCTTTAGTAATATAAACTTACTACTCTCCAATTCACCTTGGAAAACAATACTACTTTCAAGGACATTGGAAAAATACGGTTGCACGTGATCCTTATAGCATGCCAAATGCTTGATCAGTGGAAGAGAAGTACATGGTCCAACAAAAATTCGAAACGAAAAAAAAAATTAATATATCATAATGAACATCACATCCAAGGAAAATTTCCCAAGACACGAGGAGTCTATAAACATCTGTTACAATTTACACATGCATAAATTACAACCAAGATTACCATGTCAATGAGATTGCAATACGAAAATGTACCATGCTTGACATTGGATCAGAAAACATCAGACTTAACCAAATAAATGCTGGCAGTGCGGTGTGTATAAATTTTCTTCCTCCAAATGCCATTCTTAACCAAAAAATTAAAATTCCCTATTATCAGATATTGCTATGAGGAATATGTTGAGGTACCTCTCCTTGATTATCCAACGGCATATACTGTGCCATGATAGCCCGAATCTCCGAGTCCATGTATCTCTGCATGTGAATCTTTATTATGAGAAAATCTCAGAAAAGGGGGAAAAACACAAGTGAACATAAACAAGAACCACCATCCCAGCGGAGTATTTACGCGATAAGCAAATGAACTTGAAGACACCACTAAACATTTTTACATGCCCTTAGACCTTCTCATATCATTTTTAGAAATTTCACCACCCCTTCTAGCATTTCCACCTCCATTACATCCTGTTGTCTAACAAATTCAATTACGGCCCTTTATCCATCCCCCCACCAATTAATGATCATATTCAATTAGATGAATATTACAATACTACTATTGTCTAACAAACTTGTTTTGGGCCCTCCTCATTCTGCAGTCCCGTTCCAAACTACCCTCACTCTACGTGCATATCAATTAAGTGTTGAAAGTTGTAAAAGAGTATAGCATTAAAATAAAGCTAACATACCCTGATCCTGTACTTGTACAGAGCATAACCCGCAACTCCGGCAACGGCCAGGCCGAGAATGATTGCCCAAACAAAGCCCCAGCTGAATCCCGTATTAGCATCCTTACCTGCAGAGATCTTGAGATGTTAAATCTAGCACTGTAGAAAATTATGTCAGCATGTAACTACGTTAGCTACAAATTTGTTGACTAATCAGCAATTCTAGATTTTAAATACGGAGTTCATTCCAACATCACAAGTCAGAACCATGTAGTGGCTAACCAACTACTCATGTCTGGATAGATAAATATTACTCGAGTACTGCACAAGGTGATACAGAAGTTGGACAAAATCTGCCTTTCCACCAGTCAACTTCAATGAGCACTGAGTTGTGTGTTCCAAGTAATGCACACAATACTCGCTGCATATTAAATAGGAAAAGTGTTCGTACTTACTTATACACGTGTCATGTTCCTGCATGTACAATAAGTTGCCACTGCAACTGCATTCATAACTGCCCCAGGTATTCTTGCATTTGCACTCTCCACATTGGCATGCCAGTTTTTCCTTGCACTCGTCAATATCTAAAATGATGCCCAGATAAATAAATCTAAAATCAATCACCCATAAAATATGCAGTGGCAGACAAATCTATTATGTTCATAGGACCCCTAGAGAAATAAAGATGCATACCTTCACAATTTTTAACTCCATCACCCTTGAATCCTGGAGGGCACTTGCAACCTTTAGTATGGTCATCCTGAAGAATAAAGATTGAACCAATATTCAGCATAGAAGAATCAGAATTTCGCATGTGGTCAAACAAGAAACAAAAAAAGAGAGAATAAGTTGGTCAAACAAGGGAAGAATAAACTTCGTCTAATAGGAAAAGGTGAGAGAAGGAAACAAATGTACTATAAGGAACTCCAACTTACAATGCATGCAGAATATGTCCTCCCATCCTGGGTTCGTTTCCAACAGCCTCCATTATTTATTTCACATCTTAATACTCCAGAAGCTGCCACAGCCAGAAGACAAGAAAATGTCATGAATAAGAGACTGATCATCTAGGACAGAAAGTTGAAGTCCAGGCTCGTGTTAATTGTTCCATGTCTGGAAACTATTAATCAAAAGAGTACAAACAGCCTATAAAAAATCTGATACATCTATTAACCCAAAGAAAGTAAAATATCCCCTTATCAATCACCTCAGAGCCTATGGTAACACTTTTTCCTAATATAATGATTTTTGGAAAAAAAACTGCAGAATGATAACCACATAAAAGAAGAGATTCACTTCCAGACAATTCATTGTGATGTCATAACAGAATGAATAAGGGAAAAAAAAAGAGTTGCTTACATAGGAATGGTTGGGTAATGAGACTACACCTACCCTCCTAAATTAAGAGGGGAATATAAAAAGTATTTTCGAAAAGAGAAGAAGGGACGTTCACCTTCACAATGAGTATAACCATCACCAACAAATTTCACCCCCTGCACAATTGGGCATTCACACACTCTCCCACGGAAGGTATCCTGTAATGAATTTTTAAGAACATCAGAAGAGAAGTAGCAGCTAAAAATGCCAAATTAACAATTAGAAGTGTAGTGTACCCTGCAAGCTGTAATGTTGGCAGCCTTATCCTGCCAGCATCCCCCATTATTTTCCTTACACTCATTGGTTTCTATACCTGCAAAAAGAACATCAACAGCCACTCGAGTTGGAGATTTTGCATCAACTACGCATACACGTGGGAAATGGTTGTGATTTCTAGAACGCCATGGATCAAGTCTCACAATAACAACATTGGCTAGAATAGTTCAACTTGTTACTTTTTTGTTCACAACTTTGTAAGAATAATTAAATCTAAATTAGAGATGGATAGTAGAATCAATGACCTTCAGCCAAACAAATGGCTGGTTCTGTGGTCTCCTCAAAACCTGAACATATGGCCTTGAGAACTGCACCTTTGTCCAGCTTGCCTGAGCAGTAGGATTAATTTTATGAGACAATTTTCTTTTTCCATATAAATTGTGATAAATAAATTCGGACTGCTGTTAAGGTTCCAGGAGTTATCTACCTCTGTACTGCCTGCGGTTTATAACAAGGGTAGGCAAGATAGTCACATCTCCACGAGAACCCTTCCCTATCTGAAATAAATTACGTCGTCAATTAACAACTTTCACAACCATTGTTAACAATACAAGGGTCTTACAAGATGAAAAACCTGTGATTCCTGTTCAGCCTTTAGAACTGGGTTGTCGATATCCGCCTCAGTGTCTCCTATGCATTTGTCTACCTTGTTAACATCAAGACCTGCATAAGTCAATTCGATAAATATTGATTAGTCCATGAGCAAGCAGCCCTAAATGCTAGCATTTGTCAAGACGGTGAAGAAGCATGTGAAAAACTTCAATGGTAGAAAATAGAAAATCCTAGTTCCCATCCAGGAGTCAACAATTATGCACCCAAGGATGCATGGACAAATAGGAGCACTAATTCATGGTTCCATCTATAGAAAGCATTTGGTAACATAAAGCTTTACGTCATTGACCAGTTACATAACTAACATTTGGAACAAATGAAAATTAAATGTAGTATTAAAGTATTTCATACAATCAAAATCCAAGGAAAACAATATCATCAGTTCCACAATGGTACAACTCATTATGAGATACAGCAAACATTTGGATCAAGCTAAAATTTTAAGGGTGATGAATACACAGTAATCAACATAATTTCAAGAACTAATACTATTTTAGCATAAGTATGCGAGAAGACTATAACCGCAATAGTAAATAAGCAGCAGCTTACTAGTATCATAACTATTAAATCACTAAGCCTTTTCCACGTTATCATATACCCAAGTTAACTAACTAATGCACATATAAGAACAAAAGATATGATTTTCATTCTCAAAAAATTAAAATAATAAAAATGAATATGTGACAAATTACAAACACTCCATATACTAAGAATCAAACAGCACAGTTAATGTTGGTATCATTTACAGGATACAGGACTTCGGTCCCATCAACATCATCTATAAAATCAAAATGAATATTCACGCAAACACATAATGTACTACATATTTTTAATTTTTTGTTAATTAAAACATTCATAGAACAGAACTTTAACGTACCAAATGAACGGATTACTTCATTGGCACAATCTTTAGTGTACTTCTTCTCTTTCATTGGACAGCGGATAGCAAAATCTGTCACGTAATCCCACCAAAGCCATGGTTTTCCACTTTCATTGGCTATCTTAAAAAAGCAAGCTTGGCGTAGATTTTGCACGACCACATCCTTCCCATCATATCCCTTACTGAAATCCTGCTCAGGATCCGGAGCACAATATCTCCCATGGTTTATACACTGCGACTTGCACTGTTTGCTCAAAATAAAAGCATCAGGACAATACCAAGTTATATAATGTGGAGTGAACTGGGTATAGCCTTTCCGCTCAAGTATCTGGGCTGCTCCTTTGAAATTTTTGACAAACTGTATCTGGCTTTCGCACTTGGGACCACACTCATCGTTACTATTTGTCCAGAACTCGTACTCAACCCGCTCATCAGGATGTGGAAGAGCCTCTCTCCAGTCAAGATTTATATTGACCATTTCTCCATTAGACAACTCTTTCTTGATTTTGTCCCCAAGAGCCTTGCTAATAAGTGCTGATGGGATAGTTATGTTTTGTAGATAATCTGCTTTTGCATTCTCTTCCTCAGGGGTATCCATAGTAATAAGAGGCTCAACCCTGTCATCTGCAACAAGAATAGCTGCTGCTCCAGCATTCTGAGCATTCCACGCCTTCAACGTGAAGAAGCAATCTGTGAAATCAGCAAATTAAGACGACATTGTTCAATATGTAGATGATGACAGTAATTTGCTTCAGCATTTATCAAATTCACACCTAAGCAAAAAAACTACATATGAAGAGATTGTTTACAGTTGTACGTGTATTAATGTGTGTGATTCGGATGACACTGAATGGAAGGCCAGCACTATGGTAATGTAAATACCAATATTGATAAAGACATAAGTGATAGCGGAGGAAAATAAAATGGATTTATGCAAAGTAATTAACAATATTAAGCTATAGAAGAACAAATGACAATCAACTTCAAAATTTTCTTTCTAAAACCAGATGAAATGGGTCAACATTTAAGCTGTGAGTCTACCCCTTGACAATTCCATATAAAACCGAAATTGGTGTTTCAAATGAAACAATAACTTGAAGATCAAAGTCGACATATTACTTAGCTACATCAAATCCAAATTACTGCGGTCACGTTATAATATGTTCAAAGTGATGATAATCAGTGAAGATACATTAAAAACACCAAAAGATCCAATAACTAGACCAGTAAAAGATCATTTTTTTTCTTCTCTTCCCAACCAAGTTAACACCCATGCAATTATGCAACCAACAATCAAGTTAACTAGGAACCAATGCTGCAAAAAGAATACTATCAATTTCCTCTTCTTACAAACATGAAAATTAAAACTCATAATAACATTTCCAATTGGCGGGGACGAAATCGAAAAACTTTACCCCCTCGATCAGCTAGAACAAATATGGGCTTGCCTCCCGGCTTAATCTTGAAGGAAATTTCAACATCTTCAAAACTCTTGCACGCCTTCTGATTGGCTTTTGGGTAGAGGACTGTACCAACCATGGTCCCTCCATACTGTGGCACCCCGAAATTCCCAATTGCACATTCATACACATCTTTCAGTGAGCCTGGTGACGTCACCTTCAAGCTGTTCTTTTCAACAACAAATCTTCCCAAACAAGATCCATATAGAAGAAACCATAAGCACACAAACAACCCAAGCCTTTCCCTCATCTTGCTTAACTCTCTCACTTTCCTTCAATCGACAAAGATCGAAATAAAATGACCCGGCCTAGATCAGAATTCTACAAAATCCCTTCTTTCACAAGACCCACTTGCAAAACTCTTTACATCAATATAACAGAAATCAGATCCAAAATCTCAAAACCCAGATCATGAAAATTTCCGATCGATAAAAATGTCAACTTTTTATTGGAAATTCTCTATGATATTTGAGCTAAATTTTTTATAAAGTGAGGAGCAAGAAAATACGAGGGTTTGGACAAACAAACTAGGGGAACAACAAAAGACGAGAAGAAACATTGAATTGAAAACAAAAAAAGTAATAAATAATGGCAACTACGTTCACCCTCAATCACGCTACTATTCTACATATGTGAATAAACTATAATATAATCATATCTGTAGCATTTAAGTTGCGTATTTGTATTTAATTATAAGTAATTAGTTAATAAATCTAATGTGAAAAACATTAATTAACAAACCAACCGAGGAACTTTCCTTCTTTAAGGAAAACAAAAAAGAAAAGGATAATTTCTCTATTAACCCCAATCTTTGGCTCTATTAACAAATTGATCGTCTATGTTTAGAAAAAGCAAGTTTGCCCCAATAATTTACTATAGTGTGCAATTTGACTTCATTTAAAATTTCTAAAATCAGTACAAGTTGAAAAGAAATATACTTTTATGAAGATAAACATATGAGACACGCGTAACGGCTGTATAGGGATGAATTATGTAATGAAATAATAAAATTTGGGACTAAAATTTCCTTTTTAAAAGTTAAGAATCAACTTGCTATTAGTATAATATGTTGAGGACTAATGGTGAAAACTTGCACCGGGCATAAATAAATATCTCCTCCGTCTTTTCCCCGTTTCTTGAGAGATATTGTGTTTTTCCGTGTTGAAGAAAGGAAAGGTTGTACTATCGTCTGATGAAAGTGGGCCCCGGTGATATACGGCCTAGATTAATTGCTATTTGTCGTTAACTGCCTCTTGATTAGGTCGTGAATAGGTGGGCCCAATGGGCATTTCTTGGATTTTGTCTATGATATTTGCGTGAACGCCACGTGCATAAACTTTTATTAATTAAGCCCCTGTTTGGCCCCCATTATTGTAAATTTTTAGGGGGTTGAAAATTTTTAGAATAGTGATTGATGGGAGATGTGTGGTTGAAAAGTTTTAGATTTGTGTGTATTATTATTTTATTTGATGAATGTATGGTTGAGACGAAGAGAGAGAAAAATTTAATGTAATGTAATGAGATATAATGGGGGGCAAACAAGGGCTAAGGCTCCGTTTGTCTTCGATTATTCCAAAACGTTATTTGTTACGATAAAATTCTCCACCACATATTCATCAAATAAAATATTATACACACAAACCAATAAATTTATTTTAAATTTCAACCACACGCTAATGATAGACAAACACACACTAACAATCGAGTCTATTGATTTCGGTCCAACCGCAATTGTCTTTGAAAAATCTTATTCATTTTTCAATTGGTCGAACTTAAATTTTAATTATACATTTTATCGAATCTTTTATCCGCGCGTTACATCAACTCTTAAAAAAATTTGTTAAAATGAATAAAGAATTATTTAATGTTCAGTGATAAATTATTAAAACTATTTTGGCTCATTTGTATAAACAATGGATAGACACGTAGCATTTTTTTGGTACTACTTTAGGTTGTGAAAAACGTGGAAAATGTCAGTGTCTGGGCCATTGTCTCATTTTGTGGTAGAAAATGATCTTTGCTTCATATTTTGAAATATCTTTCTTTCCTCCAAACTAAGGATCTTTCTCGATGTCAACATAGTTGTCTCGTTTTTCTTGATTATTTACATAATATTCATTATCGAAGGTACGATAGCCAGTAATTAGTCCAGTTCGAAAATCGAAGTTAGGATAACCAATAATTAGTCCAATTCGAAAGCTAGTTATCGACTTCAAAAATGGAAAGATTTGTACAAGTTATACGTTTCGTTGCCACTCTATGAAAAATAATTAAATATTATGCGAAATCAACCAAGACGAGCATACGCAACCAATAGGTAATCCTGCATCTATTCAACATACAAGTTATTTTTACTTCACTACTAAAAACTTATTTCAAGTTTAATTAATAAAGAATATACAAAATTCGTTATAGAAGTTCATTTTATGAACTGCATTTAATGTTTTTTGTTCTTTTAATTGGGGTAAATTTGTTGATGAATTGTTATATTTTTTATGCAGGTGTTTAATGTTTTGAAAAAATAAATTGAATTCTTGGTTTAAAAAATGTAGTAGAAATCATGGTATGGCATGAATATTAGTACATGTAAACAGGGACAGAATCAACAACCGGCTAGTCAGAGTTGTCACCCGTGCTGATTCCATGGGAATCGTTGGATTTTTGAAACGGAGCATCAAGCATGCCGTAGCATCGTCAGTGGGAAGACTGTGAACTGTGGTATGGAACTTCCAGTGTTCCAAACGAAGGAGATGAATGGTTTGGGTTGGTTTTTTTTTTTTTTTTTGAAGTTGTGGGCTTTTGTTTTGGATCTTTTTAAGACGTTGGGCTCCATAACATTGCCCAATCAATCTGGCTTTGAGGTTACAATTCACTAGGGTGCAAATTGCCCATTTCCAAAATCCAAACCTTTTTCTGATTCCCTTTGTGCCAGTGCACCTATTTCATATACATTTCTCTCTTTTTTCTTCCCCATAGAAAGCTATATTAGAGTTAATTGTTCCAATGGTCACTGAAATTATGTCTATATCTTCGATTGCTCACAAAGTTTAAAATGTTGATTTTTGACCACCAAACTTTGGAAATCGTTGTACGTTACTCATTGACATAACTTCCGTATCAAACTTCTAACGAAATTGGTGATGTGGCCGACGGAATTCACATATGACGCCCTGTCACATTGTTAAACTTCAAGATGATCGAATTTTGGCCACTGAACTTTGAGATAGTTGAACTTTAACCACTAAATTTTGAAAAAAGTCTTCTATTACTCACTTTAAATTAGATTTAATTAAGCATCTATTTACCCCCTTTAAAACTAATTATTTAATTGTCATACTCATTTTTAACCACACATTTATAAAATATAATATTTTACACGTAAACTTAAAACTCATACTCATTCTTGAAAAAAATCACTATTTAAAATTCATTTTTTAAAATAATGGTCATCAAATAGGGGCTAAAATTCGTTGTTAAAATTCGAATTTAATTTAATTTTAACAATAAATATGTTATGTGTTTTATTGCAATTAGTAGTCACTTCCTTTGCATAGGATAGCAAGCATTGTCTATACCACTAGAAATGATTATTCAATTATACAGTAGTTTAATTTAATTTTAATTTATTTTTGTAAAATTTTGAGCTATTTTCATGATAATATTTGAATTTTACAACGAAACACATTTGTAGTTAAATAAAATTAAATTCATATTTTAACAATGAATTTTAATTATATCCAAATTTATTGTGAACCTTAGAAGACGTTTTTCAAAGTTGTGTGGCAAAAACTCGACAATCTCAAAGTTTCGTGGCCAAATTCAACTATCTCAAAGTTCAGTAGCCAAAATTCAACTGCCTCAAAATTCAATGAATATTAGAAGACATTTTTCAAAATTTAGTGATCAATTAAAGACGTTTTCCAAAATTTAATGGCCAAAATTAGGGCTAGACATGAGAAGAGAACCGAACCGATCCAATCCAAAATTTTTGGGTATTTAATCGATGGAACCGTTGAGTCCAAATATAATTATGGAACTGTTCGGTTCGATTCCTTACCATAATTAAATTTTTTAACATTTACAACAACACTACATAAATACAAGTAATGACATGTTCATTCATAACTTTTACAAATTAACGTGACCCAATTTAAAAACATATAAATAACAAGTTATCCAATAAGATTAATTCAATGTATACAAAAACCAAAAAGTAGATACTAATATTAAAATATCGGTGATCCATATCAATAATTTATTTGTTTCAAGCAGCCTGCATAAAGAAAATGAAATATAAATTAAAAGTTATAAAAATAAAATATTTTTTTTAAGTATTGGTAATACTTACCAATTATTTGATTTAATCATCAATTGCTTAACTTGTCATAATAAGAAACTCGGTTCGGATTCGGTTCGGGGGTTTTGTCTAGCCCTAGCCAAAACTCTACCACCTTAAAGTTCAACGGTGTGACGGGACGCCGCATGTTCATTCCTTCAACCACGTTACCAATTTCGTTTGATATTTGAAAATGAAGTTAACCAATGAGTAATGTCCAATGTTTTTCAAAGTTTAGTTGCCAAAACTCGATATCTTAAATTTCAGTGAACATTAGAAGGCATATACATAAGTTCAGTAACTATTGGAACAATTAACTCACTATATTGAAATATTGAAAATCTTAAACTTTATTGAACAATCGAAGATATAGACATAAGTTCAGTGAGTATTGAAACAATTAACTCGATATATTGAGATATTTAAAATGTGGTCTGCATTCAATCTTGAACCCCTCGTTGGAGGTTTATTATTAGCTGCGGAGTCTAGTTTAGCTATGGCCTATGTGAGTCATCAGCTTAATGTAAGTACTTTTTTATTTTTTTTTTTATTGCTAAAATATGAATTATTTTCATGGGGTTTTGGGTGATTAAGCTTTTTTCTTTTGATTTCTGTATGGTCGGTGTTGATTGATGCTTTCTATGGGTTAATATTTGGGAAATCGAATTATATTTAAGTAATTTGAGTGGATGATGTTGATATGTTACTTCAAAATTCATAATCTAGAAATTTAAGATAGCAAAGAAGAATTGGATATGCTGTAGAGATTCAAATGAAAGGTGGCTTTATAGGTTCAGCGCCGGTTTGGCCTCCATTATTCTACGTTATAACGAGAGGAATAGTAATTTTTTTGAGAATGTATAGTTAAAAAGGAAAGAATTTTTTTTTAAAATTTACGTGTGATATTATTTTAT